GGTTGTAGATTTGTGATATATTTATAAACATACTTGTCAGCATTTCATAATACTGATATGATTTAGGGCCTTTGTAGACTGCCAGAAATAGTGCAAATTGAGTCCACTTTAAATTGAGGCACTGCCCTGGCTCAGTGCTAGGGAATCATGGGAATTGTATTTTTTTCTAAGACATTGAGCCTTCTCTGTCAGAGAGCTCTGGTGCCACAATAAATTACAGTTCCCATGATTCCCTAGCACTGAGCCAGGGCAGTGCCTCAATTTAAAGTGAACTCAATTTGCACTATTTCTGGCAGTCTGCAAAGGCCTTTAGGCTTTCTTATGAAGTCCCTGCTGCTGTGATTGATCATGAAAATCAAAACCAAGAAAACAAGGATCATGTTTTAATAACTAGGCTGAAAATGGAAGACCTGGCAGGTGTGATTTCTCCCACCAATTTTCAGTTTACATCTCCCAACAAGGTCTTTTAAAAAACAATTTTCTTCTGCTTTTCTTTGCAATGTTTTCAGCAATGGAATTAAGTTTTCTGCGAGAAGCATGCTAGGACAATTTGTACTATCCAAAATAAAAATCCAAAAGAGAGACATTTGAATTGAAGCAGCAATATTGTGGAACTCTTTATGTGTACCCTAATATTTTTGCATAATATTTATGTGGCACAGCTGTAGTAATATAGTAAGAGCTTGAGAGGGGGAAAATAACTGCAATTTTCATAAAGGTCACTGGAGGATACTGATAGCTGCAAATTAGTTTTCCCCCCAAGCTCTGGTCCATTACATTACAGTACGGTACTCAGGCCTGTTTCTGAAAGATTTTATTACATTTAGTCACCTGGAGAATTTGATAACATTTATATAAATATGTTCTCATCAAACATGTCTTTCTCTGAATATTAGGAATTTCCAGATGTGATAAGGCTGTTGCAAGTACAGTCGTCCCTCCTAATTCATGGATGCAGTCTTGAATTTCTGCAGATGGGAAGCCAGGAGGCACAAAATGGCATGCATGTCTATGGCGCATGCATGACCATTATATCCAATGGGACTTGGATATTTGTGATTTTTCCAAAGCACGCGGGGGGGTGGGTGTCCAGAACGAATTCCCCATGAATTGGAAGGGACGACTGTACTGTTTGTGAGTTCAGTGGCTCTGCTTCCTTTCCTGTTTCTCCCATCTAGAATGTTAATTTTTGTTATTTTGCAGGAAATAGAATTTTTGGATATAACAAGCATTCGAGACACTAGAGTAGGGAAATTTGCCAAGATTCCTAAGGTGAGTTGTAATATAATGTATTACTGTATATATCTTTATGATGACAACTTGTTGACACAGAGGTCTAGCACAATACTAATACTACTACTTTAGCACAGTATTAATGCTACTACTTTAGTAACAGTAGTGCAAGGAGCCACTACAGTTAATTCCACTTCCCTCTTCTGCAAAAAACACACACTTAGAAAAGTTGCTTTTTTAGATTCCCATGATTTCCTGCACTGCTGAGGATTCAGATACTGTCAGGAAGTTGGAGTAGCTGACCCTTGGAGTATCTTCAAACAATACTGGGAGCTTTAGTCCAAAAAGTAATCTTTCCAAGCTGTACAATAAATTCCATGTATAATACAAATGGGCCATGCATAGGCTGCAAGAATGGAGATGCATGGAGGCAGACCTATGTTTATTGTAGAATCTAATCCAGCAATTGTACAATCTAAGGGCCTTTGCAGACTGCCAGAAATAGTGCAAATTGAGTCCACTTTTAGGGTTAGGGTTAGTGCTAGGGAATCATGGGAATTGTTTTTTTTTTCTGAGACATTGGGCCTTCTCTGTCAGAGAGCTCTGGTGCCACAATAAAATACAGTTCCCATGATTCCCTAACCCTAAATCTAAGAATTCTGGAAGTTGCAGTTCAATATTTGCACAACTGCATGGTTTCCACCTCTGTTCTAATTGCTTAATGTTTCTGGAAAACTACAGTAATATGTGCTGGTAAAAAAACCTTAAAAAACCCAACCTGTTACTATTTTCTGCAAGGGAGGGAGAGAGAGAAGGAAGAGAGGGAGGACAGAAGGGAGGAAGGAATGAATATAATATTAATATTTTAATAATATTCAGCATGTGATAGTAATTATATTTTTAAAAAATATAACTTAAAGTCTTCTGTGCTTGAAAAAACAAAATCCTATGCTGAATTTCAAAGAAAAGGATGCATTAGTGCTTGCTTTTTAGGTAGGTAACTTGCCCTCACTTCTGCATTCATGCTTAGGATGACATCTGGACTACTGCAACGCACTCTACATGGGGATACCCTTGTGCCTAACCCGGAAA